TTCACTTCACCACACTGTAAACGTTGATTAATTTACAGTAATTGCTTTCCTCTGTACAAGACAAAAATCAGAACTGAAATAAATGTTCATAAGGTCACAGTTACCAAAATACAAAGGTTAAACACAGAGCTACCTGACCAAAAGGTGCACGTGCTGCAATTCTCTGAAACTCTTTTTTTATGTACTTTACAGTAATACCTTTTTTCTTTCATTGAAATAATTATTATAAAACTATTATCTCCATAAGTGCTGTTTATACAATGTTCTGTAACATGGATTTGGAGGTCACTTCTATTTGGCATCACTTACGAAACTCCTTTGACACTAATCAATACAAAACATTTAATTGCTAGCTTCAAATGTATAGAAGAAACAACAGCTAATACAAATGGGCAATTTCATGTTATGGCCAACAATGGCAGAAATTTGCATGTCAAGAATGCCACACAGATGGCTCCCCATACTTCCATACACCTCAACTGCAGGCAATGACACAACTCACCTTTGGTTAAGCACACGAAATGCCTTGACAAGAAATGTGCCCATTCCTTCAGAAATAGAATTTAATAGCTGTTCTCACATCATTCAGACCAAGCCATGTTCCCAACTGTGTGACTATAGCAGGAAGGCATCAACAATAATTCCTAAAATGTCATTTCTATGGCAAAATATATTTCAATTGTTTAGATAATACTTTGTACCAACATCTACTTAATAAAAAAGAAAAAAAGAAACATCTTTTGCTGTTGCCTCTGCAAAAAAAAAATGGGACCTCAGTGAAGGATTTTTTTAAAGTCTCTTTTAGAAAGAAAATATAAGGAAATTGTATCTGAAAATGCCTTCAGTTTCTTTCGTGACTTACAAACAGATGAATAACAGAGAAGGGGTACAGAAGTCCGTAGGCAAGTTTTCTCTTGTTAATTTTAAAAAATTTTCTCTTGTTATTTTAAAACAAACCAAACCAGAAAGTGAGCATACCATTTTTTTTTTCTTTAGTGAGCTCTACGAAGAGAGCACAACAACATCTCCACAGCTGTGATTTGAGAAAAGTTACATGATGTGAAACCATTTTCAATGGCCAGAAGAGATGCTGCACATCTGAGTAACAGAAGTATGACAGCAAAGCTGGCGGTCTATTTTGTGACCATAACAGCACTAGTTATATTAAGGATGAAATGAGAACAATTAAAGCATCTACCAAAGGCAAAGAAAAGTTAAAGGAAATAAACACAGTAAAGGACTGTTTACATTCGTCAAACAAGAACAGATTGAACTGAGTCACTGACCTCACCGTGCCATTTGTAGTTCCCTGCATCTTCCCTCCTTCATACCTCCACATATGTGAAGAGCTCTCTCTATTTCTCTATTAATGCATCCCAAGTAAAACTGATCTAATTTCTTCTTAAAATCATTTCAAACTGGTGTCACTGTAAAGGATGTTTCTTAGATCAAAACAGTTCTAAAGCTACTTTCTGTCACATTTTTCTTTCAAGTTGAGCTTATCAGCCTGCATTTACCTTCCTCAGTCTTAAGTAACAGTAAATAACTCATATACATGTAGAAAAGAAAAAGCAAAATGCCTGGAACTCCAATGGCTTTCTCAGGTAAGCCCTGGTTGCTAAAATTAGCCAATCCCATTTCTAAATCACAAATGCTGTCAACAGAGATAAAAATTAAAGCTACCACCAAATAAGTAGAACAAGCCAAGTGTAGGAGTTTTGTTTCCTTCCCACGATCTCAAATTGTGCCCTAATTAGCTACCAGAACTCAAACACACTGATTGTTTCCAAGGGCATTTCTGCAGCTATAGCTCCTATATAAAATAAACGACATCAAATCATCAGCACTTCACAAAGCAAATCAGGTTTAAAAAAACAGGCAAAGTAACCATTTTCACTTTAAATCAGAAAATGATTTTAAAGTGCAGATTCTAAATCACAAAATAAACAATGTGGCACTTCAAGTTGAAGTCATTTCAAGTGCTTGAAAGAGACTAAAAACCTGTGAAGCTGTAGCTCAGACACATTGCAGAAACTTGACTTTCCCCACTTGCTGAGCTAATCTAGTAAAAACAATCCAAAACAAAAGATGAAAGAACTCTCAGATGCTCATCTGTTTCACCTTGCTTCATTTTTTACTGAGGTCTAGAACTAGTTTTAGGACTGTTCATGAAATAGTCCTAAAAAGATCCGAGGACCAGAAGATGAACTTCTTAGCTCCCCTAAATATAGCAGCAGTCATGTGGCTATTGCTAAGACCACATCAGCTTTTCCTTGCTAGAATAGTTTCTAAATCTTTCACCCCCAAAATTTCACATTGTGCTTGAATATTCAGTTTCACATGAAATGAAGCATCTCAGACCTAAAACAGTTTAAACAAAAATACACAACCAATTAAAAAAAAAAAAAAAAACCATAAAATTAAACAGCCCAACAGTCCTACCTATAAACTGTGCTACCAAAAAATAATAATTCTTATTGTATTCAAAAGCAGTCTGTGATCACCAAATAGATACTTATTAGCCATAAGAAAGTAAGATTACTTTTTCTAGGAGTAAATCAGTTTTTAAAAGTCTGAACTTCAGAAGATGAATAGTGCTCTGGAGTAAATTTGTGTTTTGTAATTAGTAAATGCACAAACATAACAAACAATTCATACCACTCCAAGACCAATTCCAATAACTGCAGACTGAACTACTGGCAGTAATAATGCAGATTTGTGAATGCTTGGCATAAACCCAAGTCTTTCCACAACAGCACTGACACTCACCAGAAGATATACCAGGCACCAAGTTTTATTTCACTGATGGGAGAAATAGATTAATATGCATTTTATTTTGCACAGTATATTCAAAACAAAGAGTTAGCCCTGGCATAAAATAGATATTATTTTCCCTAATGGTCGAGTGGAGAAGCTGAAAAAAAGAAGAACTGAAAGCACTTAGACATCGATTCACCAATGGCGGCCATGACAGAAAGTATGATTTCTGGCTGCCAGCTTTCCACTGCTGCCTCTGTTCAGTGCGCTTCTGACTTTTAAAGCACACATACCCTCTCTGCAATCCATCATTTACATTGCTTCACCTCTCTGGCAGAGATGTGAGGTTATGATGGTATCAAAGAACAGGATGCTTGCAGTCCGCTCACCGCACCCAAGAGCTGAAGCACACAGCGCTTCTATAATAACCCCATTTTGTTGAGCCCCTCATCTGAACAGAAACGCCAAGGGCTGTTGGTTTCACTAGGAGTGCTGGCTTTCAGGAGAGACAGCTCAAGAGTGTTTGCAAGATAAAGACATCATTCATCTGGACACTTCCAACAGCAGGCACTAGAAACCTTTGCTCCTACATTTCACCTCACAAACCCTCTTGAAAAATCTCAAGTTTTATGTCTGGAGAGCAGAGCTGGTAGGAAACACAGGACTCTGGCAACACTACCTTGAAAATGGGAGGGACTGCTTTAATCTGAAGCTAAGGCATAACTGGAAAGGAGAAGCAGAAAAGCAGCAGGAAAACCAGGCCAGTATGAAACCTTATTCCAGCCTTTCCAAAGTAGGACATTATTTCCAGCCTGTAAGATCTACCACAGAATCTTCAGGTACTGTCAGACCCTCAGAGTAATGCATTTTTTACCTCAAAAGATAACATTAAATGTACCAGCTACTCAACAAGATGGGCTCCAAACACCGTTATTCGAATTCTATTGACACAGTTAATTCATTATTATTATTTACAAGCTGTCAGCTTGCTAAGTCCATTTCAGACTATACTCTAACATACAAAAAGAACTGTGAGTCAGTGTGTTTTCCAAGTCTTCCATTGCTTCTGCATGCCACAATTTTAAAGAGAAGATTCTTTAGAAGTACTTTAATTACTATTTCCTCCTTAGCTAGAATGCATTAATTATAGGCTTTTCCTTCTGATAATAAGAAAACAAAGACAAGTGCAATATGAAAAGTATAAAAAACTTAATTACTGAGTCAGATGCCCTTCAGACGTCACTCTGACTACAGTGAGGAGCAGGAAAATAAAACACACACAACACACACCTATCAGCCTCCAGTTGTTAGATCAGTTATCAAAACAATGTCTTTCCTCAGTGACTTCATTAGGAGGAACTGAACCAGCTAATTAACCTGTTATGTTTTGAAATGTGCTTTTCTAAAGACAGGTAGCCTGCTGATGTACTTATGGCAAACCAGATGTGATAAGTAGTTCTGAATGTAAATGCTTAAGTACAGCATGACTTTGAACTTTGAAGGTCACATACAGTATGCATTAACATCAAGGCTCTTGTGTCAGATGCATCTTCTGTTTTTCACCTATACTTAGGAGGAGGAAAATGAAGTAAGAAAAAATGAGAACCAGTTCTGCGATAACTTGAGAACTGTAATCCACTTGTTCTCATTTAAAGACCTATAACCACTGGAATATTCCCCTAAAATTAAACAAGAAAATGGAATGGGGAATGGTGAAGACATAGTTTCATTCTACTTTTGAACTGCATGTAATTAAACCAGCAATTCCACCATATGAAAGAATGTGTTTTTCTCCATTTTTACGGACAATTCAAGCATTTCCTTTAAGAGAGCTGAAGGATTTTCTCTTTGATTAACACCTTCTACTTTAAAGCAGCATAGCTGTGACTGCAGACACAAGTCAGAGGGTTGTCTACTGATCCTTTCTCCAGCTATTATGGGATTTATCTTCCATTCTTCTACATTTCCACTAGCTCTAGGATACAAAGCTCAACAGTTGGGCCTATATGCACAGAAATATACTTCACATACCAGAATTTGATTCAGGCTAAAAAAAAAAAAAAAGCATAATTCAGAGATAAACAACCAATATAGATTTCTTTTTAGCACCACCACGTTCAAATGCAGCACAAATGATAACACCTCCCAGTGAAACACCGAGTTCCACACAATCCCCTCTTACACATAAATAACAAAGCAGACAAGAACACGGACAGACATACATGACATATATTCCAACTCACCCCATTCTAGATACTCGAGGATGTTCTTCTCTCTTCTCAGAGGGGAATTGTTACATTCGTCGTACAGGCAGATGAGTATATCCAGCAAGGTTTCCACGCTGAAGCACTGCCCATTAGTCTGAGTTGGCCCATCCAAAATAAACTGCTCCAACTGCTTCAGACGCACTTCTCCAGACATGGTTGTTTCAGTTTGCAATGGGGTTTCCTTTTTAATTATTATTATTACTTCGTCCAAAAAAAAAAAAAAAAAATCCAAAAACCAGCTTTTCAAGGTGTTGTTTGAAAAGAAGCCTGCAGTATTCTTACCAAGTGTCAAGCTCTGGTGGTGCCTTATTTACAGCCCACCTCGGCTCCCAGCCTGAGGCTGAGCTCGGGGAAGTTTCAGGCACACACAAACGCTACGTGTGTGAGCGTGTGTATATATATATATGTACATATATAGGCGTATATATAATTTTTTAATTTAAGAAAATAAAGAAAAATCTTCTACTATGCTTAATAAGGAAAAATAGATTGCTTCTTCTGACACTTCAGTGACAATAATCACTCTGAAATCCCACCAGGACTGCCTGACACCGATTTTACCACGCGTAGATGGATGCAAGCTTTTATATCTTTAAAAACGTCCTTCTCCTTCATTCAAAATTCAGATCATGCAACACAACCCTGAAACGAATCCCACCGCATCATTAAAGCGTAAAAGCCCCATTCCGTCCGCATCGGATTTCGCTTCCAAGAAAGGATCGGAAGGGGGAAAAAAAAAAAAAAAAAAAAAAAGGAAGAAAAAAACGGGAATAAATATATCTATCGACGTCGGGAGGGAACAACGGGGCGGGGAGCGGCACGGCCGCCTGGGCCTCGGCCTCCCGGGCAGGGGCAGCGCCCGGCGGTCCCCTCGCCGCCGCCGCCGTGGGGGTGGGGCCCGTCCTCAGGGCGCAGCCACGTCCTGCCCCGGGGAGCCGTCCTCCGCCGCCGCCTCCTCCTTACCGAGTCTCCTTTTAAGGCCTTTCAGGGATTGGAAAACGCTCGAGTCTTCATCGCCGCCCTCTCCTCCTCTGCTGCGCCGAAGGGCGGCGGGAGAACGCCCGGAGCCCTGTCAGAGCCGCTCCATAGCCGCCCGCCCCGCTCCTCCTGCTGCTCCTCCGCTGCGCGTCCTGCGGCGGGAGGGAACGCGGCGGCGGCCCCGCTCTGGCTGCGGGCCGGGAGGCCGCGGCGGCGGCGGCTTCACTCCCGGCGGCGAGGAGATGCTCCTCCGGCCTCGCCTCCACAGGCGAAGGGCATCCTTCCTTCCCGGCGTGTGTGTGCGCGCGCGTGCGTGCGCCGAGCGGCGGCGCGGGGAGGGCTGCCTGCCTGCCTGCCGCCCTTCCTCCCGTTCCCGTCGCCTTCTCCCTGCCTCCCTCCCGCGGTCACACGCAGCAGCCGCCGCCGAGCTCGCAGCTGCCCAACATGGCGGCCGCGGCGGGAGGGGAGCCGCCGCCGAGCGCCGCCGCAGCGCGGGGAGCCGAGCCCGGGCGCCGCCGCTACTGATGGGATTGAGGGGAGGAGGGAAGCGAGGGGGTGGATGCCGGAGCGGGGAATGCAGGGATACGGGCGGGCCCGGGCGGAGGGAGGAAGGGAGGGAGGAGACGGAGTGCGCGAGGGCCGCGCGGGAGCTGCGCGCGGGGCTCTGCCGGTGCTGAGGGGAGCGCGCCTGGCTCGGCTCGGCTCGGTTCCCTGAGCGGTTCGGGCCGGGCTCCACCGAGATCGCAGCTGTCCTCACGGGCACCGCCGGAGGCCGTGCTCCGAAGGAGCGTCACCGCGGTGTAAAATGGCAGTCGTCGGAGTGCGGGGCGGTGAATGGCCTCGCCTGAGGAGTGGGAGATGTGGGATCGCGCTCGGGCTGAAGTGTCGCCTGCACAGCGGCTCGCAAGTCAAGCTCACTCTTGAAGCAGAGAAAAGGTGGCCCGGGCCACGTGCCGTGCAGTCATGGGTTGTTGGGAAGAAGAAGAGTTCGGCATTCTCTGGAAAGCCGCAAAATCCCAAACCTGCTGGAGCTGAGGGGAAGGAAGCAGCTCAGGCGCGTGTTCTCTTGAGCTGGTAACCAGCACAGAAGGCCTTCAGCTGGTTTTTGCCATAACAAGCACCCATGTAGTTAATCGCTTTGGCTGGTCTACATCTACTGGATGGTGCAATACATAAAATCTATTAGCTAGGTGAAGGAGAAACAGCATTAGGTTTAATCAGAAGTCCCATACAGTTCACTTAGACTTATAGAAAAATGTGTTCAGAATCACTGAAGTGTGTGTGGTGTGAAGCCACAGAGGACAGTAACCACCACCTCATGCTGGCAGGAAGACAGGATGCAGAGTCCCACCAAGAAGAGCCTGCTTTGTGCTGGTAGGCACAGGAAAGTGACCCAAGAGTTGAGGCAACAGCTTGTGGTGAGTGGAGAAAGAGATGTACAGTTAAATTAATTCTAAAATCTTACACAGAAACCCTCAGAGAAACATCTTTAGGAACTGATAAAAATGTGAGTTTGTCATAAGCAATACAAGAAATAAAATTAAGCTATGATGATGGGGACAAGGGAAGGGAATGACATACCTGTTGGTATGACAAGAACCATGTGTTGAGATTGGGTGTGCTGTTCATCCTCATCTACTAAAATCTTAGCATTTGTAGTATTTGGCTAGAAAAGACTGCTGAGATGATCATGTCCAACCACCTACCCATCCCCACTGTGCTCACTAACACCTATCACTCAGTGCCACATCAACATGTTTCTTGAACACCTACAGGGACAATGGCTCCACCATTAGCATGTTCCAGTGAACCATCACACTGTGAGGAAATGTTTCCTCTTGATGCCAATCTGAGCCTCCCCTCGTACGTCCTGAGGCCATTACTTCATGTCCATCTTCATGGAATGGGTCTCAGCAGTGGTTCCATGATGGGAACCCGTGTTGAGGCTGTGGCTCACAGGCAGTTTTACACCAAGAGTGAGGTGTTTCCTGCTGACTCTCTGCAGATTCTGTGGAAATCAGTATCAAACCTGGGTGTGGAGATGTCTGGTGATGGCAGTAAAAATTGCTGTTGCCGGGGTAGATGGGCCAGATCAGATACCACTTCCTATGGGAGAGCCAAGCATCTGTCAGCCAAGTTTGTATTGAATGTTAACAAATAATAGTGTTGTGGAGGGAAAAAGGAGAACACAAAGAGTTAAAAGGATGTTTGCTCCTTGGATTTTGGCACTGCTTGGTAGGGAAGTGAACTAAAGAACTGCTGCCAGAGATATGATGGGTGTGCATATTTCATTTATTTATTTATGTTACTGTGTTTTCCTCAACCATTAATAAATTCTTCTCATGTTTTAATCACAGACTAAATGTTTGCAAACAAGAAAGAATTACCTCTTAAGGATACCTAGCAAAGGCACTCACTTTCCCTATATTTCTGGTTTTAACATCTAACCCTTATTTCTATCAAAGGCACTTAGAAGTTACACATTAGGACAGTTCTTTTCAGCCTGCTTCCAGCTCAACTGAGGCTGCAAGAGGTACAGGGTAACTTTTGTGTATTAAAATCATTCAATTTAAGCCCCAACTAAATATTAAAAAAAAAAAAAAAAAAAAAAAAGTTATCTGTTCTCTAATCATTTGATAGCCTACAATTTGTCCAAAAATATGTGAGCAGTTCCCACAGTGAAGTGTGATGTGCTTGGTAGGCTCCAGCCAGCAGTTCTGTCACAGAAAGTGTGAGGAACAGGTAACAGGAACAGCAACCAGCAGTGCTTTCATTTGCTGAAAATTATCTATGTATAATTCTCACAACAGTCTCATGGGACTTTAGAAATATATTCTCAGTTTTTTAAGAAAGAATGCAAAAGAGACATTGGTCAAGAATATTTAAGAAACTGGCAAAAGGACAGAAGTCTAAAACTCAGAAGTTCTTTATCTCTCTTATGTTCTGTCATGAAGATATACCACATCTTGAAATTACACACACATTATCATGTGTTAGTTCTACTCTATTCTTATTTTAATAAAATCACAATCATACTTGCTTATTTAGCTTTCAAATATTTACAGCACAGAAAAAAATAAGGGATAAAAAGAAATACACATCACACAACAAATTAACAAACCTGATAGCAACACAGGGAATAGTGGGGAATGAGGAAGCTGCAGCTGAAACAATACAATTTATGCATTAACAATGTGTATGTTGAGTGTTGCAAAACTTGATATTAGCACAGTAGAGTAAACAGGCTTTTCTCTCTGAGGGCATGAGATTTGTTGGCTTTGGTGAAATACTGCAGATATTTGCTAATGTCATGCAAATCATTTAAGAGCAGTCGCTTACTCTTCTCTTATTACTTACACGCTCAGGGATAAGTCCTCAAGAATAGCCTTTATTTGTTCACAAAATTTTGCATCCAGATTTTTCTGTTCTCCAGAACTTCACTTTGTAGACATTGTTTGCACTGATATAGCAGTTTATTTTCTGAGGAAAGTTTGAGCAGTATTCTGTGTGAATACTGTTTAGAGAATGTGTATTTAGACACAAATTGGTTCAATTTGAAAAGGGGTCCTACTGCTGTCATCTGAAAGATGATAGTAACTTTGATTATTATAAGGGAATTCAGATGACTAAGAGTACACACTGGTTGCTGACAAGGATGGTTCTGAAGACATGCATGTGCAAAGTGAGCAGATCTTTCTCTAATATCTGTAGTACTGTCATTCCACATAGATCTTACCACAGGGGAAAGCTTAATCCTAGCTGACAGAGAGATCTCTTCAACGAAGCTAACAGTTCTATCACAGAAGTAAATTAGTCTTTGTACCAATAGCAATGTAGCTAGCAACTTGCTTTAAGGTTGTTAAAAACTTGTAAATCTATTTTTCTTTTCCTCTTTAACTGCCTTACCAAAACCAATTTCTCTAGTGAGGTCTACAGTAAAGTCAAAGTACAAGTTTTACATGGTACCTGGCAAAATCAGTACTTATTATTTACTTATTCCCAAAACGGTGATTGTAAATGTATATGTATGCATAAACATTGTAAATAGAGTGCTATTTTTCTCTTCTCTCATGCTTCTTTTATTGCTCTTTAGAGACTCATTTACAGTGCTATTTTCTGTGAATGGCTGAACTGATTAATTTTACCAAGGAGACAAATTTCATCATAGTGATCTCACTTTACTGGTTCAGTATCAGCTTCACTCCTTTGATTTAGTCTTCATTTAAAGTTAATGAGAAGATCAGGATACAATTTTCTGTAAAGATATGAAGTGCTTTTGTCCTTACTGAAGTATCCAAGGATGCTGTGCTGTGGAGAGAAACAAAAATAACCTCTGGGATTAAGGTAGAGGAAAAGAAACAAAATTACATTTATAATACATGGAATTGCCATTATTTTGAATCCTGGAAACTGATAAAAATCACGTCAGATAGTCTTTAAATAGGACCTTGTTTGCAGTCCGAGACCCTCTCTTGTTTTTACGGTCTTCGATATCTGCAGTTTTTCAAACCTGTGGCCCCTCCATAGTCTTTTTATATCCTGTGGATTCCTCTGTCTATGCTGAAAGTTTCTTCTACCATCTTCAGAATCTGTTACCACCTTAGAATATTTAACTCTCATCAAGAAACTACAGTCTCTTGAATGGAGCTATTTAATAAGGTGGAACTCTTCAGCAGGCCAAGTTGCTTTTCATATTGAAGTGTTATCAGGAAAAGCACACGTTTGTCTGTGTAGCTGGATGGAAACAAATGTCTGCCTTTACAACATGAGGCACTGCAAGAAAATCCATTGATTCAATAGAAAAGTGAATAAATTTATGAGGTCTGCTCTGAAAGTAATGCCTCCTATTTTATTTTGTTGCCCACGATATCATAGGTGGATGTTGGTGGGATGGCAGTAGAGGTGAAACCCTCCCACCAATATTCCACTACATACTGTCACTGTGCAACAGATGGCAGCAGAGGGGCGGTCTGTCTGAATGGCATGTGATATGGAAGTGTGTATGGAGCAAAGGTGTGAACTGAAGTCCTCTGTGCAGAAAAAATGGCCCCCATTGACATTCACT